TCAGAGAAGAAGTGAGACAAATGATTCTTTTATCATTTTTGGGGAAACTGCTCCTGAGTCACCTTCTTTGGGCATACTCACACAGCAACCCCAAATCCGCAAAATATGGGGATTTGGGAAGGGGCGATTTGAGGTTTTGGGCATGGTTCACCTCACACTTCTGTACCTTTTCAGATGGGACAAGGTGGCGGCAGTCTGCAGAAATGGGGATTTGGTACTTGGGTGGTAAAACAGCTCCATCCACAAATTGTGCAAGAACTTTTGTGAACGAATTTTTGCCAATTTTTGAAGAAAATGCAAAAAAAAAGAGGGCATTTGCGCCGAATTTTGCGGTCACCTCCAGAGGTGACTGCAAAATCCCTTGCCCCGCAGCTTCTCAGGCCGCTGACAAATGGGCACAGGAATAGTACATTTGCGAATTTGGTAGATCCCTGTGATGGGCCTTTTCCCCTTTTTTTTGGGATTTTGGGGTTATAGGTCCCCATGTGAGTATGCCCTTAGTTTGAAATAAGCAAGAAAATACAAAGTGGCACCCCTGTCCTTGTTTGAGTTTCAGAAATTCAATGTGCAAGTTTAGCGGGGGGGTTGAAAAACTGTGGCTGTTTTTTTGAAGTGGCGTGAATGCAGATTTAGCAGAGCCCTTTTTTTGCCCTGTTTTTTTTAAGAACTGCTCAAGTTGCCTATTATTCCAACGCTAGGTGTGGCGCCGGAGCCATTGCCCCTTTTGTTTTTTTTTCACAAACTCGAGGCCGGGCGTCCCACTTATTAGAGAGAAGAATATCCCAGCAGACTGGAAAAGGGAAGGGGGTCCCACTTCCTCGAGGCTGGGGGGTCCCACCAAGAAGCAAGAAGAATGATGGAGGGAGCCCCAACATCAAAGCCCTCAGATGATTTCTAGAAGGCTGGAAAGCTGGGCAAGAGGCTCAACGCTAGCTAAGGTAAGGGGGGACGGTACTCTTTTCTATCGGGCCAAGCTTGGGCAGTTTGCACCAGGTACAAATAGCCTCCTAACCCCCTTTCATTCCTCCTTCCACAAATTCTAAAAGCCGTTTCATTCCTCCTTCCACAATAATTGGACTGTTGGGATCTTAAACCACTAGTACCTCCGAGCCTGTTTTTGCCGACCCTGATTTACATTGCGCGCCGTCCCGCGGTACTTTTCATGTTTCGTGTTTTTTTTTTTTTTTTTTTTTTTTTTTTTTGTCATCTCAAAGCGTTTTCACTTCTGGTGGCGATGGGCCTCCGGTAGTGTCGGACGAAGGGACAAACGTTACGGTGGGGTCCCTGTGCAGGGGGGCGTGTCGGCGACCGGTACTGCGGTGCCCATGGCGTTGGTCGTCCGGGCGCGGGGCGACGGACGACGACGGTTGCCATCGCCAGCGGCGCGTCCCTACCTCGCGCCCACGCGCGCGCGTGTGTGTGTGTATGTGTGTGTCCGTTCTGTGAGGGCCAATCGCCAGTTCGGATGACATCATGTCTTCCCGGCGATTGGCTATAATGTGTGTATGCCACGACGTTGACACATGCGTCGCCTCACCTCTCTCTCTCTCTCTCTCTCTCTCTCTCTCCCTCTCTCTCTCTCTCTCTCTCTCTCTCTCTGTGTGTGTGTGTGTGTGTGTGTGTGTGTGTG